CACCCCCGCCCTCGCTCCCGCGCGCGCGGCAGGGGCGCCCCCGCCGGCTCTGCGCAGCCGCTCGCCCCCTGCCGGAGCCCGAGCGCATCGCGCCGGGCGAGAGGGGGCGGGGCCGCCCGCAGCGCGGGCACGCCCCTGACGCAACGTCCGCCAATGGCGCCGCGCCGCTTCCCTGACGGACAGGCTCGGCGGCCAACGGGAAGGAAGACTGGCGGGGGCCGCGGAGGGCGGGGCGGGCCACTCGGCGGGGCCGCGGGGCCATGGCAGAGAGCAGGAGGGAAGGTGAGGCCGCGCTGAGGGGGCGGAGGGGACGGAGGGGTCGGGGCTGCCGCGCTGCACCCGGGGCTGGGCTCGGAGGGAGCCGGGGGGCGGTGGTGGCGGCAGCTCTGGGCGCGGCTGTCCTCGGCCCAGGCGCGTTCCGGAGCGGGAGCGGGCGGTGGGAAGCCTGGAGAGCCCGGCAGGGGGGAGGCCGGGGCGGTGGGTGCACGGAGCCTCCGGGCCTGAGCACTCCCGAGCTCCTGCCCCGCACCCGCCGTGCCACGGAGGGTCCTGCTGCCGCCTGTTCCTGCCTGGGGCGCGGGGGAGAAGTAGCAAATAAAAATTGCTTTTTAATCACAAAGTATTTTAAGATAATACCTTTTTTCTCAGTATGCACATGCATGTGTGCTTGCTTGCTGTTAGTGACCATTTAACTTGGCTTATTTAAAGTGAATTAGCTCGGTTCTGAAATAACTATGGTACTGTGCTTGCAAAGAATAAAATAAAAGCCTTCTGCTTATCCAAGCAAAACTTCAGTCCGTTCGATTTATCTTTTAGAAGACATGGCTTTGCTCAGGAAGAATGCAATAATAAAAATAGAGATGTTCTGTAAGTGATATCTCTTTCTTAAGGGGGATTGAGTAGAGCTGGATGCTCATCCTGTGGCTGGCTTTTGCGTTTTCAGACGGTTCCAGCATCCTGAAACTGGAATCCTTCATGCGAGGATAGCAACTTGAGAGTGAGACAGATCAGCTAGAGTTAGTGTTTGAGCAATTTGCTGACTGTAACTAGTGATACTTTGAAGGAAATATAAATACAAAGTAGTGTTCTCTGTGGTTTAGATGCAGCTTTCTTGTGATAAATGGAGGAGTAACTGTTTTGTTTCGAGACTTTGGGGGGATGTGAATTACAAATTGATATCTTCTGGAAGAAAGTTAGAGGATTGGGAAGAGTGAGTTCTTGCACTTGTAAATGAATGCATGGCTCTAGAGCTGAAAATGAGGTATCCAAATTCTAAAGCACTCGTGTAAAACCAAAGGTAAAATAAAGAACCACTTGTTTTGGTAGTGTGGCAGAGAAAGATAAAATGATCATGCTGAGTGACTGTCTTTACTGTGTAAAGTTAGAAATCATGCATGTTTTATTCAGCAACTCTAAGGAGTGATGACCTAAGATTGGGAAGAAAATACAGTGAGAAATGCAAGGATGCCACATGCTCACCCAGGAGGAAATAACACAATTGGAAGAGTTTACAGCATGATCTGATCAGTCTCTGCAGTTGATAGCATATATGAAAACTATTGGATTTCTATTGTGTGAAACTATAAATTTTTTTAAAAAACTGAAAAAGAAGGTTTAAATGCTTCTCTTTAAGGTTGGTTTTGCTCCTCTCTGTAAAAGTAGGTTGAAGATGCTGAAGACAGACTTCTGTCTGCGTTACAAGTGAACAGTGAAGCTTTTGTTTTGTACTGGGCTATAAAACAGAATAAATACGATGGTCAGCAGCTTGTAGGTGGTGGGTCTGATTGTCAGTGAGGAGAAAATAGCAGAAAGCCATGATGCAGGCACTTCATTCTACCAGAAAGAGCGGGGCAGGTCTAACTGAGAAAGTGCTTTTTTTTGAGTTTTGGGGTGCTTTTTGTTTTTTAGTTGGTTATGTACCAATAATTCATAATAGGGCTAAAGGTACAACCGTTATCTTAATATGTATTACCAACAAGATGACTATTCTGTCTAGAACAGCTGAGTGCATAATTTGTAGCTGTTCAACATCATTAGTTGCATCTTTAAAGCAGTAGTCATGATTCTTGAAAGTTTGTGCCACCCCAAAGTAACCCTGTCATGGAGGGTTGTATATAGACTGAAGAGTAGAGTTAAGATATTGATGTAGGTGCGGTGTACGTTGTCGACTATAACTGCAAGTAAGAAGTGATACAAAAGTTAGTGTGTTGATCTAGGGTTACTACAGGACACTTCTTATATGAGAGATAAAACTGGAAAGCAAATCTGGCTGATTAATAGTTGTCAGTAACAAATGGTTTTAAATAGAGTGTTGCTTCAAGGACTGCTATTCCACCTCTTTGTGATGAATCAGATGGCTTGGGGCAGGATTGTTATGGGGGTTAAAATGAGATTGTAGTTCCTTAGTTTGGGGGGTTTGTTGGCCAAATCAGATATTAAACAGCTTGATTCTTGCAGAAAAACACATTAATTTCATTTTTGTAATTGTTTCAAAGCAACTTATCTCTCAATAGAGATATGGAGGGGTTTGAAATACTTTTTTATTTTTGTTTTTTAAACTCAACGTAATTTTTTAGAAAATACTTTGAGGTTTTACTGGAAAAAAAGATCAGCACCTTTTTTTTTAAGGTCAATGTCTTTATTCACATATTCTTATCAGTAAGGGAAATATTAATTAGAAATGGAGTTTAATGGCTGACGCTATTTTTTTTCTTCTGGGAGAGGTATCTTGCTCCCCCTAAAAACTTGGGGATGTTGGTTTCAGTGACCAAAGATTTATTACAGCTTACCAAGATATAAATTTTATTTGTATTGTAGTTGAATAAATCACAACTATCTGTTTTTTGTGATTAAATGTAGCAGTTGCACTGGAGTAAAAGTACTTGACTGTGCTATTAAAACCTTTTTGGAGGGAGGAAAAGAAAATGTTAAGCCCTTTTTGTTGCTGACTTCAGTGTTGTGCCAGGATGAGAAAGGCCAACATGATAATGAAAGAAGCAGAGATTATACATCCAATGGCTTTCTCTTTTGAAAGTCTGTGAGAGGAGCTCATGCTCACAGAGCGCTGTGTGCAGAGCTACACATAATGTAGTCCTGAGGGTTCTGTATTTTGTGTGCATTGTTGTTTGGGTTTTTTAGGGGATGGAGGGTGTTAGTTTAAGGTTGATTTCTTTTTAGAAATTTTACTTTGGAACAATTCTTATCTACTTTGCACTGAGATAGTGTAGTCCACAAGTGATAGATGGGACTCTGTTTAAACATGCTAGGATATATTTAAGAACAGGTGTATGTACTTGTGCTATTTAGTAAAAGGGGTGAGTGCGGGAGGTGGTGTCACATGCCATGTTTGTATGGAGTTATTTTACCTTTTTAAACAATTTATGTGTGACACCTTTCACTCAACACTAGTTTTAATCTTGTCATCAATGGATTTCTGTAATCTGTGGGTTATCTTGGAGCAAAGTTAAGATTGTGTTGTGGCATAACTCCAACTGGCAACTAAGCCCCACATAGCCACTCACATACCTTCCACTGGGATGGGGGAAAGCATCAGAAGAGTAAAAATGAGAACATTCACTTTTATATCACTTGGTTGAGATAAAGACAGTTTAATAGGTAAAACAAAATCTGCACAAGCAAAGCAGAAGAAGGAAATAATTCACTACTTCCCATGGGCAGGCAGATGTTCAGTTATCCCCAGGAAAGCAGGGCTCCATCGCATGCAACAATGACTTGGAAAGACAAGCATCATCACACTGAATATCTCCTTCTTCTTCCCCCCAGCTTTATATGCTGAGTATGACAACGTATGGTATGGAATATTCCTTTGGTCAGTTGGGGTCGCTGTCCCAGATGTGTCCCCCCCCAATTTCTTGTGCACTCCCAGCCTCCTCTCTGGTGGAGTGGGGTGAGGAGCAGAAAGGGCCTTTGGCACTGCTCAGCAATAATGAAAACATCCCTGTGTTATCAACCTTGTTTTCAGCACAAATCCAAAACACAGCCCCATACCAGCTATTGTGAAGAAAATTAACTCCATCCCAGCCAAAACTGGCACAGATTGTTATGGCAATATGTGGTTTCTTATGTCTTCAGTTGTGTTTAGTTCAAAAGGTTGAAAACTGTTCTCAAGAAGTTTGGATTTCTCTGGGTTGCCTAATGTCTTAAATTAAAATTCCACAGATGAAAGAAAATAAAAATTCAGTTGCATTGAAACTTCCAGAACTTTGTCTTGATGGGATGTTTGGTATAATACTGATTTCTATTATATGTATATGTGGGGACACTTGCAGAAGTTGCTGGATATTATGTTGAAATCAAATACTGAAATCACAGCAAACGGTGATATATATTTACTCCTTGAAGAAGGCTATGTAGAAATTCTGTTGTATTTATATTTTGTATAATATAAGCATATGAAGATTCCTTTTAAATAACACTTAATAATGCACAATCTTGTTGGACTTTTGTCTGTGCTCAGTGATACAACACCTGCCAGTTTCATGGTTTGTTTTTTAAATCCTGGTATATTGAACTGCATTTTATCTTGCTTCCTCTCCTCATATGAAACTGTCTCTTTAAAATTCGCAGTTTTTTTCTCTTCGGTAATCTGAACTCTGAATGAGTTGGGTTTTTTGTGTTTGGCCCAGGGCACGATGGGCTCTCTTGGCTGCCATGGCACACTGCTGACACAGTTTCGTGCAACTATGGTTTGCAGATGGCCCAGCTCTGAGTAGCCAGAGTTATTACTACTACTAACAATAATAATCATCAAAGTTGAGATTTAGTAAAGGTGTGTGAGATATCTTTGGCTCTTTTGAGTGAAGTCTGTTTGATTGTGACAGGTCTAAACAAGATAATGGTGCAATATGAGAAATATATTTTTAAGTTGTGTGGAAGATGATAGGCTCCACAAATTGAAATAACTGTGAAGATGCTCTATTTTTCCAGGATTCCCAGGACTGCAGTAGCAATACACATTTTACACGGTTTCACTACGAGGCAGACGGGGTTATGAACAGCCAGAACAAAATCCTGATGTTCTCATTGTGCTTATGTAGCTTCTTATCATCTGTGTCATGTCAAGTTTATTAGATGTCTAGATTGCTTGTGGCTGCAATTAAGGTGGCCTACTGAGAGATCTCTAAAACCTTTGTTGAGACAGGATGGCACAATCTATTAGTCAGATTCTTATTGAACTACGCAGTCATGTAGAATTTGCTGACAGATGTAACACCAGTCTTACTGATTTGAAACTGCAGTTTGATACAGAGATCGTGCTTGAT